TCAGCAATAGCACACCACCGGGGTATCTGAATGTCAGAACCGGAAGTCTGCAACAGTAGACAGTGCAAGTAAATATCGCATAAATACTACCGGAGTATCTCTTGTACATCCCAGAATTACCCGCATGGCTTCATTCTGTATTCGTTCAAGTTTAATCAGCTGACTCTTTGATATGGTAAGCATGCCAAGTCCACAATCTATCACCGACAGGATAACATGCTGGAGGATTATGAACAGCATTATTTGTTCCATGACCATTGCTGCCATAATCTTGAAAGCATTGAGTCCTTTTGGTATTTCATCGCAACTGCCTCTACATGATCCCCGAAGGACGGCCTTCTATCGAAAATGATACCTAGGTACCTCAGTTTGCTTTCTCTTGTTACTAACATTAATGTAAGGCTTGGAACATTAGCTCTTACAATTCTATTGCCCAGAGAGCACCACAAAACAGCCGCCTTTTCCGAATTGATATCACCCAATTCTGCACACTAATTAATCACTTTGTCTACAGTTACCTGCAGCTCTTGGGCTTTCTGTTGTCGATCCCTTCTCTGCCTATACGCAAGAACATCATCAGCAAATGTTAATATCATTCCAACACCTAATGCTTCAAGTTCTGCATTCTTGCTAGTACACACATTGAAAAGCACTGGTGACATTGCAGAACTCCGGTGTAGCCCCGGGGCGATATTACATTGTTCTCAGGCCCATATGACCAGCCAATGGGCAACCATACGCGAATGCATTACAGTTGCTATCAAGTTCATAAGCCAGGGACAAATTCCCTTCTCCAGAGTACAGATATCAAAATAACTGACTATTGTATGCATCCTCAAGATCAAGTGCTGCCACAACTGTCTCCTGTCTGTTCTGGAACCCCTCATAAACATCAAAAGCAAATGTAGCTGTATTTAACCGGGTATCTTTTCGAGGCCTGTAACTACCCAAACCTTTTGACAGGAGCTCTTCCCTATCCAAAAACTTTTGTAGTTTAACAGCAATAATCTTCTTTTGCACCTTGCCAAAAGTATTTAGTGGGGTGATAATCCTGGAGAATCTGGAGTGATTTCTGCCTTGTTTTGGGGTATTGAAGCTGTTCTGATGCTCTGGTTGAAGGAAAAAAAAACTCCCCCAAGTCTTCACACTCATGCTCTTCATATGGGCATACCTGCGTTTTATAATTTATATCCTTCACCCTAACGATATCTTCAAAATGATTATCATTTATAGTATTAGACAGATTATCTCTAACTGAATTTCTAAGCTCTCTATTATTATGATTTGTTTGGGCTATAAATCTCTTTAAAAAATGCTTCTCCTTCTGTCTGTTGTCATTTTGGACAGTATGCAACTTCACAAGTCTCTGAGAAGTGAATATTCGACTGCTGAAAAAAACTATTGGTGGAGTCTACGCATCTTGAACTGACGACAGAGTGCGTGTCTGTGTGTGTGTGTGTGTGTAGAGAGAGAGAGAGAGAGAGAGAGAGAGAGAGAGAGAGAGAGAGAGAGAGAGAGAGAGAGAGAGAGAGAGAGAGAGAGAGAGAGAGAACGTCTTCTGGCGACCATCATGACACTGAAGTACAACTTTGTATGACATGATTAGCACAATAATGTCTGCCATTCATAAAGGGTATTCCTGACAACAGACTGGTGAGATTCTCCTATAATGCACACAAGATTGGAACATCGTTCAATGAAACACTGAACTCAGGGAAGCTAACCTACAGATGCTCCAACTCCGCTCAACAAAATCGGCGATGTCTGGAAGTGGAACATACTGATAAAGTACTGACCATACACATTTCTAATTAGCCTCCTTTTGTTGATTTGCTGAAACCAGACTTTAGTTCATGGTTGCAACCTGCTGTTGGGTGCGAAATCACTAAGGGCGGTAAATAGTTAATGAAGTTAATGACTTTTGTGTTGACAGTTTGGGAATGTAAACATTTGGGGGTCATTGGACAAGAGTGTCAACAGTTGGGCCATTTGCGGCGAGTGAAATAAAAGTTGCTTTTCATGGTTGATTGCAAACTATTCGAGTTGCGTGGGGAATGTGGGATCTGTGTGGGTTGGGAACCCCGAGTGCTGGCAAGAAAGTGAAATCCACACGGAGAACTGACCGTGGGTGTGAAAATTCGCGTTGTAGTTCAGTCAGTAGCTTTCAGTGGTCGGCAAATCGCGGCTTGCGATCCGCATGCGGCTCTTTATCGACCTGAGTACGGCTCGGCCAGTAGGCCTCAAACCGGGTTAGACTTGAAAAAAAAAAAAAAAACATGGTTTTCGAAAGTTTCTTAAAATGAAATTTGTCTCTCAATAAATGTTTAATCGTCCTGCAGCTGATTGTTGGCTCTTGTGACTGCCCAGTTCACCGACCACTGGTCTAGGTGTATGGACGTGTTTTCGAATTGTGCGAGAGTTCAGTGGATCCAGGCACTGTGTTTTAGCGATGTGTTTTATTCTGGGGAATTCTTGTGGACTGTCGGATGATTGTGGCGAATCATGAGTAGGGCTAAGAGTTATGGCAGTGTTTTCTAGAATGGACGGCCCATGTGTGTTGGCGTCCACACGGTGGCAACTATGTGGCGTTGGTTAACGGTGTCCTTGAGTGCACAGAGAGTGCTAGGGAACTCTCTGTGTGTTGACCAACGTGGGAATATAACTGGGATGCATCGAAATCTGACTAACAGGATGTTAGTCACAAAGATAAAGAAGAGAATATGACCGGCAAAAACTGCATTTTACAAAATGCAAATTTTTTTTACAAAATGCAAAATTATTTATTCAATAATTCTCGCATGATATATAGAGCCAGTTTTATTACACGGCTGTGAATTCTGGACAATTAATAAACAAGCCGAATAATATCTTGAGGCCGCGGAGATGTGGTTTTACAAGAATTCATTGGATAGTTAAAAAGAGCAACCCTGGTGTTTTGAAAGAAGCAAATGCTCGAAGACAACTTATCAGACACATCAGAAAGAGACAGTCACCATTTTCTGGTCATATTATGAGAAGAGAAAAATGTGACCACTGCAAAGATTTGTGAAAAGAGACAGAAAGGCAGCGTAAAAAGATTCTTGAGTCTTTTGTCATGGTATGGAGTTGTGGATCACAGATTGTGGAGAGGCATGTCGCCAGCCGGTAAGGCACTTGATGATGAATCAGTGATGCCTCAACGAATGGCTAGGTTAGCAGGCGGGAGCTCTGGAGTCATTTACTAAGTGGTGCATCTACCCTGAGTCTTCGGGTTGTGGTGTCGTTTAGAGAAAGAAAACATCAGAAGATTGTCACTGCACATCGCACAGATGTATCTGCGTGTGTTGTCCGTAGCAGGCACCAGGTTCCTAGTTCGGGGGGGGGGGGGGGGGGTGAGGGTGGCGGGGGTGTTTCGTCCATGCCTGGAGTGACTGCCGATGTGAAATATTCGGAAGGCAGTAGAAGACTTGACAGTGTGCAATCGATCAGCACTCATCTTCGTTGCCATGTTTACGCCTATCGCTAGTTCATGATCCTGTAGCGTCCTTCTAGGAGAAACGTTAACTACCTGGCAATCGTATACTTGGTTAGGTGTATATATCAGCGTTTATAGACAATATTCATTGGTTTACTAATCTACAACAGAACTTGACAAGCCTTTGGGACATTCCACGACCGCACGCACCACCTGCCTTATGTCTTTAGATGGCATGGACAGGCTTTAAAGAGCCCTTGTCCTTACTATGTGGCATCGTAATTGAATCTACATTTCAGCATCCTTCAATCTACTGTTCTGTCAGTGTACCTCCATATAGGAGTCTTTTATATAATCTACCGCTGTAGCATCTGTTCCTGCATAGTTACACACATGTATCTACTCCTGTAAGTATTCGATTTCATTGTAAATACTTGTTAAATACCTTTTTTCCCCGTAAATCACAATCATGCAGCAGGTCTTCTCCAGAATGTGGCTTTCATTGCGGTCTGCCAGAAAGAAACTTGGTCTCTCGCCTTGTGCACTTTCATATTTAAGGAGTTATGCATGTCTTGCGCCCATCTTCGCAGCAGTTGGCACCTGCCCCTCCTTCCTTGTAGCATGACTTCTGCTACTATATTTTTTCCCCAATCTTCCTTCATGATCAGACCTGTTAAGATATCAGTATTTCTTCTCTTATTCTTTTTACTATAACATTTCAGTTCGAAAGCTTCCATTTTGTTTCTTAAGGACTTTGCAATAGTCCACGACTCACATTTCAATATAGCTACAGGCAAGATGCAAGATCTCAAAATTTTTACTTTCATTTCCTTGCTGGTGCTTAACCATAGACTTTGTTATACTGTTTAATCTTTGTACTACTATGGCCATCCTCCTTTTAACTTCTGTCTAGCAGTCTCCATTACTATGTATTATGGACCCTGGATATTCAAAGCTTGTGACATTTTCAATTTCTTCTTCATTCATTGTTATTTTTGAATGACAGTCAGTTTTGTCTGTGGATATTATTTTAGTTGTCTGCAAATTAAAGAATAGGTTTCGAACTTCACTGTGTTTTTGGACAGACATGATTACATTTTCTATTCCCCTTACAGTGTTCGAAAGGAGGACTGTGCCATCTGCAGAGTGAAATTCTGGTATAGGATTGTCACCAATTATGAGCGTATCATAACTGTCACAAGTCTGGTCATTTTTGACATTCAACATTATGTTTTCTGGATATTTAATTACGATGCCTCATAGTAAGGATAAGGGCTCTTTAAAGCCTGCCCATGCCATCTAAAGACACAAGACAGATAAAGCAGGTGGTGCGTGCGGTCGTGGAATGTCCCACAGGCGTGTCAAGTTCTGTTGTAGATTAGTAAACCAATAAATATTGTCTCTCTCTCTCTCTCTCTCTCTCTCTCTCTCTCTCTCTCTCTCTCTCTATATATATATATATATATATATATATATATATATATATATATATATATATATATATATATAATCTTACTATGGTATCAACGTGATAAGCCAACTTTACCTCATGGCCAATCCTGGCAGCTCTGTGCAGCAGTGTCTCGCCAGAGTTTTTGTTGATGGTCAGCTTCCTGACATCTGCTGGTACCGGGACAATTTCTATAGGGATTGAGCTCATAACATTGCCGCGACTCTCGTCCTCGTAGTCGGGGTCATCCTAGAGAAAGTGAACGTTACAACTGGTCACCCGGTACAACTAAGCAAATAGTCTAAATATGTCTTCATGTTATGTGACTCTAATGTATGGTAACGTTCTGTCAATGTGTCAGCCTATGCCGACTGCCGGGTGATTTGCCGTGCGCAACTGAAACGAAGAATTTTAACTGTCCATTACTGCTGAGGTGAATCCCGAAATGGGGATGTAACATCAACCTTGCATGTAAATAATGTGCTGTAGAGTTTTACAAGTTCGAGCCTTGCAGAATAGGCAAGGCCTACTAAACTGGAATTTCCCGTCTAAGGATTTAGCCAGGCTATGACTTAGCTCAACAGCCCCGGCTGTATCTTTGGGATTATATGGGATTAGGCCAGGGCTGGCAACTAACGCTTCCTCACCTGGTTGTAATTATTTCAGTGTCCAAGACTTGAACCCACTGCCCACATGCTATGTTGTGTACGTATGTAAAGTCAGCAGGTTATTGCAATCTGACAGCACAAAACATCTTGCGTGATTATATCTTGTAAATCTTGTGAAACTACAACTCCATAGATCAAAAAGAGTCTTTTGGTGCCCACAAATTCCTACATTCCTATATACACGTGGTGAAAAATCACTTATTTTTTCCCCTCAAGAACATCATATTTTCAAAAGACAGGCGATTTTTGTCCCTACACACGTTTAGAAAAACTGGAATATATGGTCAAAATAAAAGATTATCTGAAAAGAGATAGAGGAAAGCAATCAATATTCTTGGCAGTGTTGCACCACAGTATGTGAATTATAATAATAATAATAATAATAATAAAAAAAACTTATGATCACCAACATAAGTTGTCAAGGCACTTGATGGTGTTGAGTCTTTGCACAGGCTGTTAAAAAAAATTTAAAATAAATTGTGGTTTGTATTTGGTAAAGTGTTCTTCTATTTCTCCAGGTACCTTACCAGACTAGTTCAAGTGTCTGGAAGAATTGCTTTCTTGTGCCTCTTTCGCAACTGTGCTTCCTTTCTCACGTCGCCATTTAAAAAAAATTAACGGGGGGGGGGGGGGAGAGGGGGGGGGGAGAGCAGGGGTTCAGACCCGATGTTCTTTCAAATCTATTGATATTTCTTTAGTTTCCCAGACTTTTTATTTGTGCAGCAGACCCATAGATGTGTTTACACTACTTTTATTAGCCTTTGCTGGGGTATCAGAAAGACCTGTAGCTTTCATATCCTTTAAAAGGCTGATAAAAGATAAGCAAATTTCAAGTACTCAATACCACTGGAGCAGTTTCTATCATGTTTTCACACTCACCTGTAGATAATGAATATGCATTTTCAACCAGCACCTAACACTCACCTCTAAGCTAGAAGTATCTTGTCCATCCATGAGGTCTTGGTCATTGTCCTCCCGCCGCACACGGCATTTTCCCGCACGGACTTTCCTTTTCTTGCCACCGTTGTCATCAGAAGCCATCTCTGCAGCAAGGTCATCCGGAACATTCTCCACATCAGACTCGTAATCTTCTTTACGCTGTGAACCGGAGGTCGAAGCCGAGGTTTTATTAGAATGGGAAGATGCGTGACTTCTAGGGCCAGCCTTGGCGCCAACATGTCTGGATGATATGTGTTGGTGGCTTTTTCTACCAGACCCAGCTGCTCCTTTAGCTTCTGGAAGCTTCCAAGTCTCGTCAAGCAAATTGTCATCATTATCAACATCCTGTGAGAGATCTCGCTGCTGCTGCAGCCTTTCCCTAGCTTTGCTGCTGGCCTGGCGTTTAGCGCGAACAACAGCTCTTCTGTTTGCCTCCCGGTGAAGTTCTTGTTCATAGGCTGCGTTGCGATTGTATCTGCGAATCTTTCGCTTTCCTGTCAGAGGAAATTCAAACACATATATAAATGCTGATTCCTTCATATCTAAATGGGCTAATTCAAATATACACACATTGTTGTGTCTCTACTGTTAGTATGCAACTGGTGTTAAAGAAAAGGCGAAAAATGTATATTTCACAAACGCGGTTTCTAGTTTGTTGAGATGACAGTCGGTTTAAGCTACCGGCTAAATAAGCTGCAGTTTAGGACCTCGCGTTCTGCAGGGGCATTAAACAAAATTATATATATATATATATTGTTTTAACAAATGCAATTTTCTGTTAATATTTTTTAAACGCTATTTCTTTAAATTTATTTTTAATAGCTTTTGGAGAATAATACAATTTCTGTGATTTTGCAAACCCATTCTTAATTACACCTTGAACTAAAAATTAAACGACAATATATTTTTATTATCCATATATATAAAAAGGCGTACATATTTTAATATTAGAAAGATGGAAAGAATTCTGTACATAAATGCATGAGGGACGAAACGTATTTCAAAAACAACCTTTGAAAGTAAAGTTATGAAAAAGAACCAGAGCCCTTACTGGATGAGGTACGATCAGCAATATACAGCCTAAAGAAAGGCAAGTCACCAGGTTGCGACAAAATGCCAGCAGAACTAATTCAAGCAGGAGGAGAGGCCTGCGTCCGAATCTACCATGCACTGTGCACGATTGCCTAAAGCATAGAAAAGAACAATGTATACCCCTCTCCCCAAAGAAAAGAAATTTGAAACTATGCACCAACTACCGTACCATCGCTTTAATAGGTCATGCTAGCAAAATGATCTTAGGAATTATCATGAAGAAGATTGAAAGGAAATTATAATATGAGCTACATGAAGCACAAGCGGGTTTCAGACATGGTAGAGGGATTAGGATCACATCTTTGATAATGTTTGAAAAATGTAGACAATACAACGTAGATCTTCATGCTTGTTTCATTGATTATAGATAGGCATTTAATTATGCCCAACATCAAAAACTGTGGACTATTATGAGAACTATGGGGTTTCCAGCGCATTGTGTGCATTTAATTACAAATCTTTATCATGAACAACAAGCAGCTGGTGAAACATGGGACTGGTTCGAGGTGCAAAAGGGAGTGGGGCAGGGGTGCATTCTCTCACCATACCTATTCAAAAAATACGCAGAAAATATAATCAGAAATGTCAAAAATGACCTGACTTGTAATAGTTATGATCCGCTCAAAAATTATTGGCAACCCTATTCCGGAACTTCGCTAGGCAGATGAGACAGTCCTCCTTTCGAAAAGCGTAAAGGGAATAGAAAATTTAATATCGTCTGTCCAAAGGCACAGTGAAGATCTTGAATTTAAAGAAAACGAAAATTATGTCCACAGATAAAACTGGCTGTCATCCAAAAATAACAATAAAGGAAGAAATTGAAAACATGGAATATCTAGGCTTTAAAAAAAAATAGCAATGTAGACTGTTTAAAAGGAGGATGGCCACAGCAATGCAAATATTAAACAGCATTATAGGTCTATGATTAAGCACCAGCAAGGAAATCAAAATTAGAATTTTGAGACCATGCAACATACGGATGTGAGTCGTGGACTATCTCCCAGTCTTTAAGAAAGAGAATAGGGGCTTTTGAGCTGAAATGCTATAGACAGATTCTCAGAATATCTTGGACAAAGAAGAGGAGAAATAGTAACATCTTGAGAGATCTGAACATCAAAGATGATTGACTAATAAACAGCATCCTGTCTCGGAAGCTTAAATATTTTGGCCATATCAAGAGCCACGGCCGATTGGAAAAATTAAAGCACAAGGCATGGTACCTGGAAGGAGGGGCAGGGGCCGACCAACACAAAGATGGACACATGATATAAGCGACACATTGAGTATTTAAGTACATGAGGCGGGAGAGCTGGCGAGAGATAAGAGTTTCTTTTAGGCAGACCGTGATGAGAGCGATGTTCTGCAAAGGACCTGCTACATGATGATGATGATGACATATTTTAAACTTGTCTGAGATTCGCTGGTGTCATTTAAAATGGGAGGGGCCTTAGGGCTTTATACAGCTTAGCACCTCATGGAAGTCTAAACGCGGCCTTGGTAGACATACTCATTCCTTCTCTTTTGCTAGTTTACGGGTGTTCATTTGCAGTCTCTATCTATTGTTAACGCTCTCTTGTGACTAATGTATCCTTATGCAAAATAAACGTTTAATATGTGTTTAACTACTGTGAAGTGTGCTCTACAAAGGATTTCCCATTTCGTATATTTACGGATTTGAGTCAATGTACTTTGTTTGAAAATTAATTAGAACTATGAGAGTGATAACTGTGGGTTGAAAAAGACGAAGATAAGATCGTAACTGAAAAGAAAAAAAAACGGAGTTGTGGTTGTTTGCACGACAGAGAGAGAGAGAGAGAGAGAGAGAGAGAGAGAGAGAGAGAGAGAGAGAGAGAGAGAGAGAGAGAGAGAGAGTGAGAGAGAGAGGGAGGGATTGGGGAGGGGTATTGGGGAGATATATATTGATTGTGAAAAGACATAAAAGCGCTGTATGTGTGATAATAACAATGAGGCACGGCGTACTTGTAACGATAATTACAACACCTAATGTGAGAGAGCGCATTAATGATCTCCGGAAATATGAAAGCAGGAATCGAACAATCTTTGGCGTAAGTTATCACGACACAATAATTGTCGAGCGGAGGCGACCAGTGTGGTGTCGAAAATGTGGTGCAGTAGGATGTCAAGTGAAATATGTAAACACATCAGCAGATGCGTATGTGTGCGCTCGAAACAAGTGCCTTTATCAACTAGTGTGGACTCTCTCTCTCTCTCTCTCTCTCTCTCTCTTTCTCTCTCTCGGACACACGCCATTGCTGTGCCTTTCCCTCCAGCTGTAGAATGTGTGAACTAATGATGTTATTAATCTTTTTTTTTATGCCCTGAAGACTATTATCAAAAACAGTTCTCACCTGTACTTTCTAAATCCAACACCTGTCATGTACCCAACCCTGCTGTTTATTAATACTGTCATTTAAAACTTTATTTTGTACAACCCACATTCCTTAACTTTCAAATAAGGGTTTTGCCAAATACTGCCCACTGTGAAACGCAGCTTTTTTTTAACTAGCTTGTAACAATTAGCAGGAGAGACGGCACAGAAACGATACTGAACTTTATAAATAGACAACAAATCAATGTAACAAGACTGGCATCAGATATAGCACCACAGATAGCAACGTTATTTAGATACAACGGTAACCGAACCAGAGGTCGACCATGCAAAAATGGCCGCAGAAAAATTAGATATACTGAAAAGTACTATGTACGAAGCGAAAGACAGGCCCGTTCCAGGGATCTCTTCCCGCCCTGACGCCGTGAGGCATTCCAAGAGCAGAGAAAATAAGAAGTAGAAGTAGTAGTAGTTATAACTCAAGGGTCAGAAATGTAGTCATATGTCAAACATGTAGTGAAAAATAAAAGTGACTGCAGTCAAGCTCATACCAAAGAATTCCAGTAAAATGTGGCTTGAAGGCTTAACAAAATGGGCAGGCAGAAAAAACGTGCACAAAACAACACCGTTGCTTTTTAGTCACAGTTCATTGGATTTCTTTTAAAATAAGTGACTCCTTGAGTATGAAAGTGCATGAGGCGGGAGACCTGGCGAGACACCGAGTTTCTTTCACGCAGACCGTGATGAGATCGACGTTCAGCAAAGGACCTGTTACATGATGATGATGAAACTAAGAGAATCCCCTCCTGAAGGTTCCGTCGTTTTCGAGGTCAAACTCTAAAAGGCTCCGTCTCCAAAGGGTTAAAAACGGTCCCCATTTCTGCAGGAACAGGACTCCACCTTTTGCACTTCTATCAACATATCTTCTCCTTATAATCGATGCCGTGTTAATCAGACCTTCACAGTCTTCTGTCTAGTGTACTGCCAATTAGTTCTGATTTAGATGCTTTTCCATGCCAAAATGTCTAAGTGCCCAACAACATCTCTCTTAGTCTTCTTCTGCCTCTCTCTCCTTGTCACCGTTCCCGTTCTATGTTGGAAATCATAGAGCAATCCCCGTCGTCGAACAAGTGTTTAATACACCACAGGATGCATATAACTTCCTGATATACTAGTAATGAGTCTGGCTGGCAGTAAGTGATACAAAGGCATATTCAATAACTGAAAGGACCAGCACTGCAAAGAGCCAGCTAAAGTACAGATTGATGGTAGCAGCACTCGTGATCATCACGTTATTTCGACAGTTGACATAAACTCTACGTATCTACTCCTACCATCAAGCCTGCTTCATATCTTACTGTACTTATCTATATTTACCTTCGGGCCTGTTTAATCACTGACTGACACTTGTTATGTACTATTCTCATGCCAGTTTACGTACACTCTACATGTGTACTTCTACCATCAAACCCGTTTAATGGTAGATTTTTATTAATTTTTATTCACGTATGTTTAATCAGGAAGAATCCACCTTGTTCTAACGATGGAGTTTTTCCCATTCTCTACCAATATTTGACAATGTTTTCTGGTGATTCCCAACAGACTTGGTGCATTTTCTATGACGATCAGTAGCGTGTGCGTTACTTGCCGTTTGATAATCTGTGGCTAGCATCTTTCTTGTTTCACACAAAATGCCTCGTCATATGCAGCGACTGTGCAAATGTGTTCACATCTGCTCTCTCTTTCTCTCTATGTGTGTGAGAGAGAGAGAGAGAGAGAGAGAGAGAGAGAGAGAGAGAGAGAGCCATACCGTCCCTGACAGAAGAGGCATGATATAAACCAGCTTCCCTGTCATTGATTTCCTAGTACCCTACTGACCTCAAGCCTAACACAACGATCAATTACTCCCAACTGCAGCTGTCATGCGAGTCCCTGTGAAACCTTTATATTTCCGTTTTTTCCGGCTTGCTTGCACAGTTGGTTAAACCTGACTGCGCGGCTACCGGGAGACACCTCATTTTGGTCCGGGTTCACGCCCAAGGGTAGGCAGAA